CCCTGCTGAGCAGGGAGCCCGATGCGGGGCGCGATCCCAGGACCCCGGGATCATGACCTGAGCCGAAGGCAGCCGCTTAACAACTGAGCCACTCAGGCGCCCCTAAACCCACGTTTTCTGTCTCACAATCTAATAGTGTTTCCTTGACAGCAGTGGTGTGGTTTCCAGACAAGCAACATCCGCATTGCCTGGGAACTTGTTAGAAATGCAGAATTTCTAAACTTCTAAATCAGAAACCCAACAATCTGGTTTAACAAGCCCTCCCTCCGGGTGATTCTCACGCACCCATTTGGAGAGCCACTGATCTCTAGCTGTGCTCTCCCTTGGCATCACCTGGAGGCTCGTGAAAATACATCAGCTCAGATCCCACCCCAGATCCCCTGAATGGAATCTGTATTTTCAGGAGATCCCTGGGTTATCTGTATGCGCATTAAAGTGTAAGGAGCACTGCTCTGCAATATGCTTAATTGAGTCTTTTTATTTCTCTTATTGAAGCCAGAGCATTAAAAAGCAACATAACTGACCAGGCTGAAATCAAGCACTCAGGATCCAGCCAATGCACTTCACATTAAAAAACCTAAACATTTTAAAATTAAAAAGATACAGTCCACAACTGAACTTTCACAGTTTTGATTGTGGAAGTTTAAAAGCATAAAAAGCAGCAAGTATCCTGTGATTACAACCTATGTGCTTCACAATTGATTTTTTTAAATATATTTTTTAAAGATTTTATTTATTTATTTATTTGACAGAGAAAGAGAGACAGCGAGAGAGGGAACACAAGCAGGGAGAGTGGGAGAGGGAGAAGCGGGCTTCCCGCCGAGCAGGGAGCCCGATGTGGGACTGGATCCCAGGACCCCGGGACCATGACCTGAGCCGAAGGCAGACGCTTAACGACTGAGCCACCCAGGCGCCTCTTTATATTGATTTTAAACAAAAAACGTATCCCAAGTATAAATTTGAGAATATTCTTTTAGGATTCTCTCTCACTCTTTTTTTTTTTTTTTAAGATTTTATTTATTTATTTGAGACCGAGAGATACAGAGGGAGAGAGACCATGAGCAGGTTAGAAGCAGAGGGAGAGGGTGAGGGAGAAGCAGACTCTGATCCTTGTCGTTTGCGCTTCTATGCCTTCACAGGTTTTTCTTTTTCTGATGAAATTTAAAAATATCTCCAATATGGTAAGATACAATATTTCCTATGACTGCTTTAATGTGTTGTTATATTTTATAAATTGATTTCTTCAAGCGTCTGGGATTGAGTTATCATTCCTTTATTTTCTAGAGCTTCCATTGTTTTTATTTTATTTTATTTTTTAAAGATTTTATTTATTTTTCAACAGAGAGAGAGACAGTGAGAGAGGGA